TTTTTTTCCAGAATATTCTCTAACTTTTGGCCTTAAATAAAATTTGATTTTTCCCTCTGAAACTACTACTGCCGCAGAAGTTTTCTTCCACATGCCATACACTCTGAAAAGAAAGTTGGCATTTTCCTACTTCTCATAATTTCCTTACCATTACTTTCCATCTTCCTGAGACAAACAACTGATAAAACTTCCTTTTGGAGGCACAGCTCACATATAAGTTTCTATACCACCATCTATCTACCACTGTTCTCCTGGCAACTCAGTTACTTCCATTTAGTTTTTTTTAAGACTTCTAGGTCTAGTTCACAAACTTGCCCTAAACCTCACATCTTCCACCTTCATTAATCGGAAAAGAAATTTAAACATAATTAACCAACCCAACAAGGTAGCTTCAAAATCTCAATTTACTTACTCCAGTGATGTTATTTCACATTTGCTATCCAATCCAGAGTGATTCTCTAGATCTTTAACCCTTCATAGTTGTCCCTATTAGGAACCAAATCTGACCAAAATACCATTCTTCTAGTTCTCTCAGTAATTCTTTCCCACCTATCTATTTAACTTCATAAATAAATCCCTGATCCTTCTAATTTCTCCCAGAGTAACAACTCTGACACTCTGGTATGGTGCTGTGGGTTAATGCACTGAACTGTAAGGTCAGTTTGAACAGCAAGGCCAGTGGTTTAAGCTCACCAGACACTCCTTGGAAACGCTACACAGGGTCACTATGAGTCGGAACCAACTCAATGGCTCTTAACAACAACACAACAACTCTGGCTTTTTCTGATGCTGACTAATCAACATAACTCTTCTCATTAAATTCCCTTCTAATGTTATCCTTCCACCACATCCATTCAATAGGTCCCTCAAACAAAGATCAACACTTCATCTTTTCCATTCCTGCTTTAGTAAAGAAAAAACTGCAGATTTATATAAGCTGACACCATTTTATTTATATAAAATTAATGTAAAAATACATTTTTAACAAACTAGTCATAAGCAGAACATGTATCCTTTTTCTACATACCGGCAAGATGTCTGAGCGTCTTTGACACAGTCCCAAGAGATACTCTCAACATCCTGAGATCTGATGAGTGATCCTCTGGCTTGTTGGTAGGCTCATGAGGAACAAATGGAGGCAATGTAGATGAAAAAAGCTGATTAATGCCCAAACTAGATTGGCCTACCTATGAAACAGGGAAGAAAATGAAGAAAGCGAAACAAGATGATATCAATTTGACTTCAACTGCTAGAAGAAACCAATTTTTTTTTTTTTAATTAAAAAAAAACAAAACAAAAAAAAAAAGAGTACTGAATTGACACCAGTTAACACTGTATTCTCAACCCTCCAGGTCAGATCCTGTTTGGTCAACTCAAAGAATGTTGTTCAGAGGTCCTGGAAGGCTGACGATATAGAATAGTACGGATAATAGGCCTAAAGTCTTCTATTACTCAGAAGTTGATTCCTTACAAAAGTAGCATTATTGAGGGATTGGAACTTTGGCATTATTTCCATCAAGGACTTATTTTACTTTAAGGGAAAGAGACATGTTGTGGGGGGATATAAAAGAATGGGGAGGAAAGACAGAACAGAAATACTTTCTAGAAATGTTTCAAAGAAAAATAATAGCATCATAGAATTAATATGTTAGCAGTTACCAAAAATACCTGTCAGTCCTCAAACTTCCGAAACAAAAGCAGTGGCAGTATTGTATGCCATAGAGTAGGTTCTGACTCTTAGCAACCATGTAGGACAGAGTAGAACTGTCCCATACGAATCCCCAGGCTGTCCCACTAATTGCAGGAAGTACAAACAAATCTGTCTTAGAAGAAGTATAGCCAGAATGCTCTTCAGAAGTCAGGGTGGTGAGACTGTGCCTCCATGAACTTTGGACATGTTATCAGGAGGAACCATTCCCTGGAGAAAGACATCATGCTTGGAAAAGTGGAGGGTCAGTGACAAAGAGGAAGACCCCTCAAAGAGATGACTGACGCAGTGGCAGCAGCAAGGGGCTCCAGCGTAGCAGCAATTGTGAGGATGGTGGAGGAACAGGCAGTGTTGTGTTCTGTTGTACACAGGGTCACTATGAATTTGACCCAACTGGACAACACCTAACTAACAACAAGCACTTGACTTAAAAAAACACACCAAATGCTACCAAAACAAAGAGAAGGAAAAACAAAATAGAGACAGAGTAGATTACTTGTGGGAATCTAGTTTCCATAAAGTGACAGGTTGGTGGTGGTGTTGAGTGCTGTCAAGTCAGTTCTGACTCAATCCAGGCCAAAGGGTAGCTGGTGGGTTTGAACAATCAATCTTGTGGTTAGCAAACAATAGGTAAAGGGGAATAACAGGCAGGCTTTGTGTAAGTACTATATTCCTTACCCCAAAGACCCTTGGTGATGGCACAGTGATCAAGTGTTAGCATGCTAACTGAAAGGCTGGTGGTTCAAACCCATCAGCTGATCCTCAAGAGAAAGATGTGGCAGTCTGCTTCCATAAAGATGACAGCCTTGGAAACCCTGTGGGCACTTCAACTGTCTTAAAGGGTCAAAACTGAGTCGACAACAGCAACCGGATATCTTGTCCCATGTAATATTTTAATGTATGAGAGGAACAAAGAAAAAAATATAAGTAGTCATGTCCCCTGAGAGCAAACTGGGTTGCGCAAAAATAGTACTTCCATATCTGGCTTTTTTTTAATTGGCATTTAAGAGGGCTGGTGGCACAATGTGCTTAGCTGCTAACCGAAAGATTAGCGGTTCATATGTACCTAGTGGCTCTATAGGAAAAAGACCTAGTGATACACTCCTTTAAAGATTACAGTCTAGGAAATTCAGTAGTTCTACTTTGTCATAGGAGTCCTGGTGTGGCACTGTGGGTTAATGCGCCAGACTACAAAGTTGTTTGAATCGCAAGGTCAGTGGTTCAAACTCACCAGTCGCTCCTTGGAAACCCTATACAGGGTCGCTATGGGTCGGAATCGACTCGAAGGCACTTAACAACAACAACAACAACAACAACTTTGTCATAAGGGGTCCACTATGACTCTAAAATCGACTCAACAGTCCTTAAAAACAACACATCGGCAATTAACTAATTCCAAGATCACAGGATAGGTCTAGGAGAAAAGGAAAATACAGGTAACAGCAACAGTATACTACCTGGGCTAAAAGAAAAAACTTAAGAAATAAAATGTGAAGCAGTGATCAAAGTTAACTTCAGTAAATCAATACTAACTGAAGTGGTGTTAGACACTGTTGAGTCAGTTTTGACTCACAGTGACCCTCTGTACAAGAGAACAAAACACTGCTGGATCCTGCCTGGGCCATCCTCACAATCATTGCTATGGTTAGACCCCTTGCTGCAGCCGTTGAATCAATCCATCTGGTTAAAAGTTCCTCCTTTTTCACTCAAGCATAATGTCCTCCAGAGACTGGTTTCCTAAAAATCAGTATTATAAAAATCATTAGAAATTCTAAGTTGAAAACAAATTAGATTTTTTCAATTCTTATGAAAACCCTGAGCAATCAATCATTTGAATGTCCATGAACAAGTCTAACCTTAACACTACTGCAATTGATTTCTGCTGGCACAACTTGGCACAGTTAGGATACTTCACAAAGAAAGACCTAAATGCTCCATTGGAGAGCCTTTTACAAGATACCACAGAACCCACTAGGGTTTATTTATGGTCTTGTTCCTTTTATGTAATCGCTAACAAATTAAGGGATGACATTTCTCAACAGTGCATAGTTAACTACAAGTTGGTGCATTTTTCAACTAAGATTTTCTTTCCCCCACCAAAGTCAAATAGAAAATTACAGGCACTTCAAAATAAATGTTTTCCTTAGAAGGCAACTGCAAAGCAGGTAACTAGAGCAGACAACGATGTTAAATCTCTAAATTATAAAACACTTTTTCTAAAGCTGCTAGTTCAATGTACTGTTAGTTCAATGCAAGTTGTGGTCACCTTGGTCACATCTGGGAAACAGTAAAAAGAAAAAAAAAAAAAAGTAACAATATCATTTCCTGAAACAGTACCGGAGAAGACCATGCTCCTTCCAAACATCATTTTCAGTGTCTCACCTCTCTTACTAGTTCAGCAAGTCTCTCATTGTCACTGCCCACAACTGCATGTTCTTTTAGGATACGGTATTCAGGATCAGAATCCAGAGTAGTGATGTCAGACTCAGCTTGCCCCTCTAGGTTCTCTAGAAAATAAGAATCATTTTGCCTAATTGTATATATAGTAACTAAACTTGGCTTCCACAGGCTGAGGGATTTCACCTCAGCCTGTATCAGGTTTCAGCAGTATCCTTGGCAGACGATAAACAGTGATGCATCACTAGTTAATAGTAAAGTGCCTTGTGACTTTTCATCACATGCCACCAAGTTTGCCAAACTGCTGCTACCTACACCTGCAAACAGCTTGGCAGTAAACTTACAAGAATTTACATCCTTACCCAAAATATAATTTGATGAATCTGTAAGGTCTTCAGAGGTTTCTGGTTGTAGTGCTTGTAAAACCGAAGAATCTGAAATTGATACTTTCACTGGATGAACATCTGAAGATTCTTTCTTCTCTGTAAGGTCAGAACCAGATTGTATCTTCCCAATGGGAAGATATAATTCATTGCCAAGATCACCCTGAATGAAAGCTGGTTGTCTTTCGTCAACACCAACAGTCTGTTTGTGAAATGCTTTTTCACTTAAAGGAGCAGATGGTGCAAGCTTTGGAGTGACTATTTCCTGCAGAATATTAGGGTGTGATTTTACATCAGGATGCCAGTATAGGGAACTATCATCTTCATCTTTTTTATGTAACAGTGGCTTTGAAGCTGCTGGTTCAAACACCCCAGGAGTAGACTGATAGCGTGGATGACTAAGTAGCTCAAGTAAATGTTTTTCATCATTATAATTGGATAGGGTCAGATCTGGGTTTTTTAGTTCTCTTTCTTGGCTGTCATTTGTTAACGATTTACTGATGTCAGTTTGGATTTCATTTGCTGTGCTGTCTTTCTTTGAAGGTTCAATAGAGGCAATAACTGCCTCAAAGGCTACATTTTCAGTAGCAGGAACACTCTTCCCACTCAAACTGGAAGTTTTGGTGTCCTTTTGGTGTCTTTCTTCTAGAAAATAGAGTTGTTCTGATGTCTCACCCAGGTTGGTTGTTACAGTCTGAAGGGGACTACCAGAAATCTCTATTTTGGAGGGTTCATGCACCTTGGAGAGTATATAGGCTTCTGAAACTTTTACAGAATTTTCAGAAACTACAACATTCTCAATATGCTGCATTTCTGAAGATCCGGGATGCACCTCTGAAGATGCATTATTTCTAGTCTCCTTTTGTTCTAAATGTTGAGATAATTCTTCCCCCCGTCCTTCATTTCGTTCATAACTCTCCAAAGAATCCACTTTTTGTTTCACTTCATTCTCAGCTGGAACCCTTAAACAAGCACTTTCAAAATAATGGCTATCTGATGTCAAGGGACCCTCTTCCCCTCTTCTTTCCAACAAACAATACAAGAAAGAATTCAACATTTTATTATTAAAACGAGAAGCAACTTCATGTGGAAAGGAAACATGATCCATACTGGCTGGACATGCTTTTGGATGATGGGAAGCTTCCTGTTTCCACCATGGCATATACGAACCAGGGGCACTGAAAGTGTTAATTTCCTTGGGAATTTCATTTTCATCAATTGTGTCAGATGAATCTGAAAAGGAATCATGGTCCTTCCTAGATGAGCCTGTTTCTGGTTGCTGAAACGCTTCCTGTTTCCAACACTGCATATATGAACAAGAAGCATCAAAGCTATCACTTCCTTTGGTAGTTATGTTTTCATCACTTATGTCAGACAAACTTGAGGAAGAAACCTGACCTTTACCAGCTAAACTGGTTTCTGGCTGCTGAGCAATGTCTTGTGTCTTCAGTGACATATAAGAACAAAGAACATCATACTTATCAGAGTCTTTGGGAGCTTGAAGTTCATCAACTCTATCAGAAGAAATGGTTTCATTATTCTCTTGTTCAGGAAGTAAAAGAGATTTCTGAGACTCTACACCTGTACTACCTATGAGTGGGTGCTGAGATACACTCACGCAGCTGTTAACCACATCGGAAGCTACTTCTGAAGTTGCCTGGAACAAAGCTTCACTAACTTCCGATGGTCGGGAAAACCATTCACTGTCTTCAGACCTATCAGGAACTCCCCTGAAAAATACAGTTAGAAGTAAATAAATAACACATTCAAAACATTTAATTTTTATGGACTATTATGACAAATACAAATTAATTGTCAGTGAAATCAAGATCATATGAAGAAAAGTATATTGAAAAACAAAGCTTTATTCAAGTTTCAAATTCCATTAAGATGGCAAATGACTGAACAATTTTTTTTTTTTTTTAATAGTCAGGGGTGAACTGCCACCCTCTGACCCAGATATTTTCTCAGATTTAGCCTTAGTAATAGAGAATCTGAATCTTATTTTCATATTGCCAAATAAATAATTCTTTATATAAGAGCTGCAAAACAGCCTTTCTAACTTTATTATATAAAATGTTTAGTTTATCACTGACATGATTTAATATTCATTTACATTAGTAACTTTAATTGTTTGTCTAATATCTACAGAGCACTTCATAAAACTGACTATAAAGTAATATACAGCAAAAAGGGTAGGCATTAAAACTTTTTATTTTCTATAGTTTTTCATTTAAGTTTTTTTTTAGGAGTTTTGCTTTTATTCCAGTTCTAAAAGAGGAAAACATATATTCTTACATAATCCCCAAAATTCACGAATTCCATTTTTGTCTCCCATTACAAATATTCTAAAGGAAATTACTTTGATTTCAAAATAATACAGTCACTTACATGATTTCTACACATATGTTACTGTGGCACATTAACATGTATCATGTCTTATTTTAAGACCTTAGTTAAGTTCAAAGTGACTGCTGAGAAAATCTAACCCTCATTCCAACATCCCATATTAGCCTGAAGTTAATAACATTAGTAACAATTTAGAACAAGAAAAGGCAGAGTAGAAAGGTTATGTGCAAACAAAAATTAAATCATTTTACCTCAGAGGTGCAAACTCTAGTTCACTTTGTTGAAATAAGAAATCAGATCCAAACTCTTGATCTCGGGTCATGCAAGTCAACAAAGGCAAATCAGGAGAAGCAAAGCTGTCCTGTATGACTGAAAAGTTTCAAATATAATAGTGATAGTTTAATACTGAAAATTAATGGTCTAATGTATTCATGTAATATTTTAAAGAACCTAACTATGCTGCCCTCTGGAAGTTTCCATAAGCACTGGACTAATGTAACAATTACAGCAGCGTTGACTACCATTTATTGAATGCCTGCCAAGTCCAGGAACTTGACCTACAATATTACCTTTAATGTTCATAACAGTTATGAAGGATAGAGAATAAACCTACTTAACAGATGAGGAAACTGAATTACTAAAATTAGACATTACATAAGTTGCCCACAATTCAAATAATTATTAAGTGCCAGGGTGAGATTTGAACCTAAACCCTCTGATTTTTAGCTCTTAGTCATTATGACTGTTTCTTTCCATCTTAAGTGATATAAAGAGACCATACTTCTTATACCAAAGTGTGGCCCAGTAAGACACTCTGAGGGGGGATCTTTAGCGTCTTAATCACTAAGATTACATTTAATATTAAACTGCCGTTTGTCTTATTTACTCTCATTCTCTCATGAGGGTACACAAAAGTTTTCCAAAACCTATATGTGGAGTCCTGGTGTGGCGCTGTGGGTTAATGCGCCAGACTGCAAAGCCGTTTGAACTGCAAGGTCGGCAGTTCTAGCTCACCAGCTGCTCCTTGGAAACCCTACACAGGGTCACTATGTCAGAACCAATTCAATGGCACTTAACAACAACAACAGCTGAAGATTTTAGAATTGCTTTTTAAAGGGGAAAAAATTCTTATGGATTCTGGAACGTTGACTTAAACAATTCTCATTGTTCTTAAATACATATAAACTATGTAAAAATTCCTGATTCCTTATAGCATGGATTCAACTATAAAACAAACGTTACTAGAAATAAAACTGTAAAGTCAACAACATTCTAATTAATTTCACATGACAGGTGATGTTTTACAGAACAGAAACTGCTTTTGCAATATGAATATTTACTACTGCAGTATAGTTTAAGTTCAGAATGACTGTACTTTAATGTGCAAACTGAAGCTGCCACTCTCTTCCCACTCTTCTCTGAGAAAGCACTGCAAACTGAAGGTTCGTAGGGCTCACCTGCCCTTCACTTGGTGTACCGAAGCATACTTAACACTCACATACGCTGCACCTTTCCTATCATAATTCACCTGTCTGCTCTCCACCTAGACCATCAGCACCACGGCAGCTTCCTTTACAGTTGCAGCCTCAGAGCCTACCAATGTAACCAGCGTACTTTTCATTCAAATTAGATTAACCAAATGGATCAGTTAAAAATGAGACGCTAATTTAAATCAATAACCTGTACCACCAAAACCCAACTGATAAGGTTCCTTTTTGGTGTGGCTTAGAAAACCAGTCTTAAACCTTCATTAAAAAAAAAAAACAACAACTCCTTCACCCCTCTAGGAATCATGAAGGTTTTTATTACAAAGTTTCCAAATCCACTAGAGCAGACTTACACTATTTATTACGGAGCTCTGGTAGCGTAGTGGTTACGAATTGGGCTGTGAACTGCAAGGTCAGCAGTTCATATATACCAGGCACTCTGCTGGGGGGGGGGGGGGGGGGGGGGGCGGGGGGAAGATGAGGCTCCCTGATCCCATTAAGATGAACAGCCTCAGAAACCCAATCCAGGGTCGCTATGAGTAAGAACCAATTCCATAGCACATAACCACCACCACTAAGGCATAATAAGAATTAAGAAGCAGCTCCTTAAATATTTAAAAATATTTCAGGGTGCAGGTGGGGGACTTATGCCAAGTAAACTGGAAAATGGGTTTACTAATCAAGCAGCTTAAAAATGAAAAACGTGTTTCTCAAGCGTGTGTGTGCTCATGCGTGGACACACTGTGAGAGTGTAAAGAGCTATATCTTACTGATAATGCTTTTAGCAAGGTGCTCTGGTAGCGTAGTGGTTACAAACTGGATTGCAAACCGCAAGGTCAGCAGTTTGAAACCACCAGCTGTTCCGCAGGAGAAAGATTAGACTTTCTGCTCCTGTAAAGATTTACAGCCTCGGAAACTCTGTGCAGGGTCACTATGAGTCGGAACTGACTCCATGGCACACAACAACAACAACATCATCTCATTTGGCACCAATTATCATCAATAACATTTGCCATTGGTCTAGACTACAACAAAAATATGTTTAACAAAACAGTAATGATAGACTCTCTGGCCATTAGATCTACTTCTTCTTCTTGTTAAGTGCCCATTGAGTTGATGCCAACCCATAGCGACCCTGTAGAGGGTTTCAAAGGAGCAGCTGGTGAGCTTGAACCGCCAACCTTGCAGTTCAAACGGCTTTGCAGTCAAGCACATTAACCCACAGCGCCACACTAGGACTCCTACTTACTCTATAATCTACTTACTCTATAATAAATGGCAAGCTGCAGTCATAAAATTTTATATTAGAAATTATATCATGTAAGAAACTACAAAGCACTGAAATCCTTTCTTTAACATCTCTTACAGAATGTTGCTTGAACATTTTCTGTGACATAATGCTGTTTTTATTTAGTAGTAGTCTTCACTACTACTAAATACATTTACTAGAAAGTTGTCTTATAACAAGTTGATATCAGCCTTCCCCCTATAACTCTTGTATTCCAATCTTAACTTCTAGAGCACAGTTTGTAAATTTCTTCTGTAAAGAACCAGATAATTTAGATATTTTAAGCTTTGTTGATTACATATGGTCTGTAATTTTTATTGTTGTCTGTTTTTATAATCATTATTAGCTTATAGTGCAAAATCAGGCCACAGGCCACACTTTCTAGGTTTTTAATTCTTGTTCTACAACATTATAAAAACCATTCCACTGTTATTTTCTGTTTAATGGACAGAGAAGTAGGAACAGCTTTCATTTATACATCCCCAGATCAAATATACAATGCTGTAAATGTCATCAAGTCAGTTCCAACTCATAGCCACCCTAGGGTTTCCAAAGAGTGGCTGGTGAGTTTGAACCACCAATCTTGTGATTAGCAGTCCAGTGCTTATCGATCAGCGCCACACCAGGGCTCCACACACACACAATGTTGTTGTTGTTGTTAAGTGCCATTGAGTCATTCTGACTCACAGTGATCTTGTATAGGGTTTTTGAGGAGCAGCTGGTGAGTTTGAACCACCAACCATGTGATTTGCAGTCCAGTGTTGACCCTATAGCATTACACTAAGACTCCAAACACACAATAGGCACTTAGGTATTTGTTAAATACAAGAATGGAAGGAAATGTATTTTTTTTTCTCTTTAGCAGTGCTGTTGTTGTTAAGTGCCATCTAGTTAGTTCCAACTTTAAAAGGTTTCCAAGGAACAGCTGGTGAGTTTGAACCGCCAGCCTTGTGGTTCAAACAGCCCTTCAAATATTTGAGAATAGCAATCTTCTCAAAGGATGCGTTCCTACTCTTTTACCTATTATCATGTTATCGCCTCCCACAAGGGCACTCTAATTTTGTCAATACTTTTCTTAAAATGTCGAACTGAAACTGACTTTAACAATCCATGTCATAGAAGAGATTGGCACTAATAATTTGACTTGAATAGCATTACCTGAAGTTTGAAAACAAACAAAAACAAGTTAAGTTGTATTTAAACTTCCCTACAAAACTTGAACAAGACTATTCTCATGGTAGAATCCTGTTGTTAAGTGCCGTCAAGTCGATTCCGATTTATAGCAACTCTGTATAGTGTTTCTGAGGAGCAGCTAGTGGGTTTGAACTGCCGACCCAGTTGTTTGCAGTCCAGCGCTGATGCTACAGCACCACACCAGGAGTCCCCTAAAAAGGCTAGTGCTAATAACCAATCAGAACGTCCCTTACTTTAAAGCACTTCCACTAATCAATGATCCTGCATATCATGTGTATCAGGATACTAAGGAGGTAAAATTCAAAGTTAAAAGTTTATACGTTTCATTGGAATGAAATGACTTGATAATTACTTCTGAAATCTAGTTTTTAGTTTATTCTATCTTTTAAAAGACATAAACCTAAAAATGTTTATCAAGATAATTTTAAATTTAAAATACCAATAAAGGTGTTCTTAGAATCTCTAAGAGGAAAGGTTCTTCTATACAAACTATTCAATAATAACATTAATCAGACATTATAACCCACAGCAAAATTTTAGTACTTCAGGTAATAATAAGGATAAAGATAGCAATGGACAATTCTAGAACAACATTTTAAAAAATTGAATAAACACATAATTACATAAAATGCTCATTATCCAGCAAGGACATTTAGCTAGTTTGTTATTAAAATAGTTTTTTGTTTGTTTGTTAAGTGCCGTCGAGTCGGTTCCGACCCATAGCGACCCTGTACAGGGTTTCCGAGGGTGTAAATCCTTACGGGAGTAGAAAGCCTCATCTTTCTCCCGCGGAGTGGCTGGTAGTTTCGAACTGCAGACCTTAATAGTAGTCCTATGTATTTACTTCTAGCATTAATCAAGAAGCTCCCCAAAAGTAACTGATGTAACATATATACAGAAATATATATAATATACCTCAGATATATTACTTAACCTCTCTATCTAATATTTGAACCTGAAGCTGAAGATAATAACACTGTTGTTGCTGTTAAGGGCCATTGAGTCAGTTCAGACTGTTAGTGACCCTGTATAGGGTTTTCGAGGAGCAGTTGGTGGGTTTGAACTGCCAACCCTATGGTTTGCAGTCCTGCTGATCCATAGCACCTCAGTAACATAGGCCTTAATTAATTCTAAGAATCAAATCTTATAAACAAGAATTTTTAGTTTTTATTTGTTTGGGGTTTTTTTAGGGATTGTGAAGTCTCACTTGCTGGAAGAAACTAGAAAAATGTCATGGAAAAATTCTATTATCTTTTAATTCCATTTTTCCACTAACTTTTTGAAGCCCTTTCATACACCCCAAGATCTCAACAAATCTAGGACTGGTGAGGCACACACACTCACTACTTTCTCCTTTCTAACAGCAACAGGATGTAATAAAACAAGGGGTACCTGTACACTTAACTAGATGAGCTGGCGCATGCAGAAAACCAGAAATAGGTTACTACCTTTGACTATGGCTCTACAGAGCTCCTCAACCCTATAGGAGCTAAAGTGTCTCCCAAAAGTGTTTTACAAATGTGAGGTATCACTACTAGTTAAAAACAAAGAGGAGTTACCTATCAATGGAGAACATGAGGTATCTCTGTTGTGTTCCTTCATTTGATTTTCTGATTGGGTCAATACACCTTCCTCCATAGAGGGGAAGTCTGTTACTTCAGCCCCTTCCTCTCTCACATTAAACCTGGCCTGGGATGTATCCAAGGTCTGGGAAAAGTCCGTTTCTTGAGGAAGGCAATGCCAAGATTCCATTTTCTAGAACAATAATTTTGAAGAGAAACATGCTAAATCATTAACTGAGTAATCATACCAATAAATATTTAGACTAAAATGTCCATTCAGAGAGTAGGAATATACCCACAAATATGTAATAAGTTTGAAAAAGTATACTTGAACATAGGTATTTATATTGGCTGATAATAAACATCCATGAATGTGGTAGAGCATACAGGAGGCAAAGTTATGAAAACTTCATAGACATAATCCAACACCTGAGGGAATGAGCTGCTGGATCTGGGAGTTCAGGATTTTAGTCTCAGGGGACACCAAGGTCAACTGGCATAATACAGTTCATAAAGATAATGTTCTACACATCCTACTTTGGTGAGTAGTGACTGGGGCCTTAAAAGCTTATGCATGGTCTCTGCCTGTTCAGAAGAAAGAAGAGTGATGAAAATTGAAGACACATGGGAAAAATCAGTCCAATAGCCAATGGACCACCTGAACCTCAGTTTCTAGGACCCGGAGACCAAAAGAACTGGATTATGCCCTGTTATTACTCTCAACTGTTGTAAAAGGGATCACATTAGAAGGTCGAAGATAGAATGGGAGAAAAATGTGGAACAAAACTCAAAATCATAAAAAGATCAGATTTATCTGTAAAACACTGATTGGTTTAACCACCAAGACTATGACCGAGTCACCCTTTAGGTCTGGAAATGAATTCACCCCATGGTTCAATTTTCAGCTATATTTTAGGCCTATAAAGGGCACAATGACACTAAGCAAGTATGCACACCTTAGAATCATTAATCCTTTGAGATCAAGAGGGCAACATTTGCCCAAGGTTCACAAGGGTTAGGAAAGGAGCAATGCACAAAGAAAACACAGAATGGAGTGAGGTTAGTGATGTTTCATTGTGGGGACTGCAATCAATGAGATGAGACAAAATGTGTATAAACTGCTGAGTGGAAAACTGAAAAAGAACTCTGTAAACCTTCACCCAATTCATAATAAGAAAGCTTAAAAATAATCAAATAAAATGTGCACTCAAGTAGCATATGCATAAAAAGTAAACCTGTTCTTTCCAGGTTTCTTACAATATATAATTCCAGTAATTTTGAAAATCAGCCCTTTGATCCATGGTTGTTTTCAGCCTAGATCTTGTAGTTGATCCCTCACTACATCTATTCTCCACTAACAGACTACTCGTTATCTGACTCCAATGGGTAAGGTTGTATGTCAATGGGGCTAGCTGTGATTCTCAGTGGTTTCCAAGTTATGATGTAGTCATTCCCATCATGAGATTTGCAATAATGTAATTACCTCCATGATAAGATCGGCTAAGAACAACCAATCAATCGTAAGGGGAGTTGTAATACTTCAATATTTTCCTTGAGAGTATGGCTTGCTTCCAATATATGTAGATACTCTGGCAAAGCTTGCTTGCTTTTTGCTGGATCTGGATCCTGCATCAGGCTCACCAGCGACCTCTGGTTCTTTGGACTTGGGCCAGCATCCTAAGAGATTGGCAGCTGATCTTGGGAGTCATTAGTCTCTGCAGCCTGTGAGTCAGCAGTCTGCCATCTTGCCAGGTGACTCTGGATCAGTTCATTTCTACAGGTAGCAGCCTACTGTCTAACCTGATCTTGGGTTCCTCAACCTCTGCAATTTAAGTCAGGAAAAAGCTACTGCCTGACATCTGACCCATGGACTTGGAAACTTAGCCTCTACAACTGTGAGAGCCATTTCTTTGAGATAAATCACATTCTCTATCTATCTATCTATCTATCTATCTATCTATCTATCTATCTATCTATCTATCTATCTATCTATATCTATATCAGATACAGGACTGGAAGGTGGGAAGGCACTCAGAATGCAACTGGGGGGAAAAAATGCCAAAAAGTTGACCATAATGACATGAATAGAATTAAGCTCGGGGAAGAAAAGCACACAGAACCTGCATTTGCTGATGGGCAACAACTTAAAATGAAGAGAAACAGCTATAAACATCTATTGAAAATTGGAACATAGAATGTACGAAGTATGAATCTGGGAAAATTTGAAGTTGTCAAAAATGAAATGGAA